TGAGCCCCACTGTTACACAGACTGCAAGGAATTCCCAGCTCTCTGTGGGAATGCTGGGATTTCCACAGAGCACAATCTGTATTGAGCCCCACTCTTACACAGACTGCAAGGAATTCCCAGTTCTCTGTGGGAACACTGGGATTTCCACAGAGCACAATCTGTACTGAACCCCACTGTTACACAGACTGCAAGGAATTCCCAGCTCTCTGTGGGAATACTGGGATTTCCACAGAGCACAATCTGTATTCAGCTCCACTCTTACACAGACTGCAAGGAAACCCCAATTCTCTGTGGGAATACTGGGATTTCCACAGAGCAGCTCAGCCAAGCTTTGCTCCAGCTAAGGCAGAGGATGAAGGCAGCAGGAATTCCTCCTTGCAGTCCTGTGCCAGGAGAGCAGGAGATGAGGAGCCTGAAGGTTCTTCCCATCTGCAGTGCCACCAAGCCCAAGGATCAGGCACAGGAATGAGCTGGACCCAGCAATGGCTTGGCTGTGCCTCAGACCTGTCCCAAACTGCTCTGCAAAGACATTTCTCAGTCAGGCCATGTTTCCTCCCAGGCTGTGACCTATGGCAAACCCCTGTGGGAATAGCACACTAAATATCCCTGCTTTCCCTTGCTCACCTGGTAATTTCTTTTCCAGTTGCTGCTGCTCCTCCTCCAGTGCTGGTTCTTCTGGTAACCTTTGGTCTACAGACACGGAGCTGGCAGCAGAAATGCCACTGCCAGAGCGGACTCTTCTGCCAAGGAAACAGCAATTGGGGGCGCTTAACAGAAGCCAGGCTACCCAAATGATTTATGATTTAATGATCAGATCAAATGAAATGCAGTGCTGTAATGTTTCATGGTACTCAGTGTTCACTCAGTGCTGCCCACAGGGTCTCACTCAGGCATTGCCTCAGGAGAACAGCATTTTCCAGGATCCCAGCAGCTCACTGGTGAGCTGAGAACCCCAGTCCCAAATTCTGCTTCCACATGGGTTCAAAATCTCCCCAAAATGTCCCCAAGATCTCTCCCTTGGGGGGAGATTTTTCCCCAGACAGTCTGGGCTTGGAGAAATGCTGACAAACTATAGCAAAAACAGCAGAGGCAGAGGAAGAGCTCACTATAGTCAAGCTAAAAGCAAGATCCCAGGTGGAATACACAAATATTGGGAATCTTTAGGAGGACACCTGAAGAAGTCAGTATAAAAACACTTCTTTTCATTGCTGTTACTTTCTTCCCATCCATTTCTCCCCAAAGAAGTGAAAGGGAGCAGGAGAAGTGATGAGTGACCCCACTGCTGCCAAACCCAGCTGTGCCCAAGGAGGTCTGGATGCAGTGCAGTGCAAATCCATCTGGAATTCCAATCCATCTGGCTGCTCTGCAGGAATACAGCCCTGAACTTAAATCTAGGCTTCTATGGCCAGACTGGGCAGGCCTGGAAGGTGTGCCAGCATAAACACCCACCCAAAGCCTGCTCTCACACGGCAAAAGGTGAGGGCTCACTGCTCAGGTCCTGTGCTTGGCACTCCCAGAGCCATCCCAAATGGCACAGAACCATCCCAAATGACACAGAACCATCCCAAATGACAC